ACTGTACAGCTAGGGCTTGGTCTGGAGCTCACAGACCCTTCGAGCCCATTCACAAACCTTTCGCACGCAGGTCTATGAGCTAGGTAACCAACAAAAATGTCCTTGGAGCCTTGGTTGAAGTAGGAATAGTCTTTATTCAGCACACACAACACTATGAGCTAGGCAGTACAAACACCAATTCAAAAACTCCACCGCTACTGGCAAAGTCCACTGGAAAACCGAGCAGCTGCCAGCAGAGTAAACATGTTCTATTTTTAGACGTGAGCTCTGATGACCATCTTCTGCCTCACAAACTGAAGAAGACACAACAGCAAAAAACGAAAAAAGACACACGGGTGCACATGCGCACTAACTCCACCCACACACACAGCTTGTTTACAAGAAATGTGCTGCACCACCCTCAACCCGACCTCAGGCGAGGGGGCCTGACTAAATTATCCTATCTTCCCCCACACACCCAGACACGCATACGTGGGGTCAAACACCAAACACCCAGGAGAACGAGTTTCATACGTGCTTAAAGTCAGTCACACATGTGTGTGACTACGTGTGTTGGCTCTTTTACCTGCCTGTAATCCTGCCATCGACGCCAACTGTCCAGCTAGGGCTGGGTCTGGTGCTCACAGACCCCTTGAGCCCATTCACGGACTGGGTCACAAACCCTTCACACGCCAGGCTGGGTCCCCAGACCCCTCACACGCAGGTCTATGAGCTAGGTCACCGGCAGACAGGTCCTTGGAAGCCATAGTTTGGCGAGCAGGGCCGCTGGGGGCTGACGCCTGAGGCAGCCAACGCCAGCCAAGCCTGCGCCGGGCAGGCGCACTAACTCCACCCACACAAAACTTATTTAGAAAGAATGCGCCGCACCACCGCCTACCGCGCCTAAGGGAGGGGGCCTGATTAAATTATTTATGTTCTCAACAGTGTGACATGGTGTAGTATACAGAGATCCTCAAACGCATGCAGACACGGGCTCAGTTACACACGCTGCTTTACCTGCATGGGCACACGCGACCCCACTGGAGTGACCAGGTGCAAACACAGGGACACCCAAGATAAACTCACATGCAAAGTCCCACACCTGCACGGACAGGCACGGCTGAGCCACAAACACACACACAGACACGCGCACACTCGCGCGTGCGCATACCACACATCAGCGTCCCCGCTTCCCTGGGCCACCTCTGAAGGTCCTGGGCAGTTCCCGCCGAACCTGGTGGAATCGGGACAGCTTCTCCTTGGTCTTCGGAACTCCCCGGGACGCGGCGCTCCCCAATACCCCTCCGCCCTCAGTGGCGTGGGGGATCCAACCTACCCTGCCGCAGACGGGATCAAGCGCCCAGGCCGGCGCGGACTGCGCCTGCGCGTTGGAATACGCAGGCCGCTCGCTGCTCTGAGGAACTACAACACCCAGAAGGCCGTGCGAGCCAGACTGTACAGCGACTGCAGGCTTCTGGGTCCCCTGGATCATCAAAACTACAACTCCCGAAACACCTTGCGTCGCAAGCGAGGGTTCCAAGGGTCACAGTCTCCTGCGGCGCTCAATTGGAGCTTGTGGGCTGTGGTCAGCTCACCACGGCCTGCGTGTGGGGTGGTGGGCGTGGCCATTAATACAGGGGTACGTTTCTTTCTCAAGGTAGAGGGCAGAGTCCACAGGCCTAGAAGGTATATGAGGTTCAGAGAGGCCAAGTCACTTACCTCAGGCCACAGAGCTCAGAAAGTGCGTTTGCAATCCACACTTTCCACACTTGGGAATTTTTTTTTTTTTTTTTTTTTTTTTTTTAAATCTGAAGTAGTTGATGCTGAATCAGTCCAAAGCAAGGAAAATAACAACTCCGTGGACGTAGGTAAATAATTATAATAAATAGCATGTACATGGGATTTACTGTTAGTCAACCATTATTTTAAAGTGCTTTCTATGAAGCAATTCTGTTAGCCTCCCTAAATTATTTCCTTGGCCGTTAGAAAAATGAGCACAAGATCAGTTTTAGATGATTGGGAAAGCAAAGATATGTGTGAGCCTAGAACTGGAAGGAAAATGTATTTCACCGAAATGAATATGCCACTGATTGTGGGATGGCACATTATTTTATCTAGCTCCAAGTCTGGTCTTAAACCATGACACATACTTTCTTTACACTTCCGACTTTTATATGTAGACCTGTAGAGGCATTGTGTGTTTCCCCTCATCCTTCTGGAAGCTTCTGGGCTTGCCATGATGAGAACATGCGCAGTGCCCCTCCAAGCCTGGGGATCATGGAACAGAACTTTCCAGCTAATTCATAGACCTATGACCATGATAATAAAGGTTTATTGTTATAAGTCACCAAGGTCTAAATTTTTGTTTCTGGATTAATTTAAATTTTAATGCTTAAAAAGTAGCTCTTAATCTCTATGGACTGTGTTGAGAACTTCAGTCTGTGGCATTTATGATCACTAAAAAGCTTTTTTCTTAAAAAAAAAATTTAAAAAGATGACTGGTAAGGGGATCTTAACTCTTGTCTTGGTGTTGTCAGCACCACGGTTTCCAAGTGAGCCAACCGGCCATCCTTATGTAGGGATCCGAACCCTTGGCCTTGGTGTTATCAGCACCACACTCTCCGAAGTGAGCCATGGGCTGGCCCCACTAAAAAGCTTTAAAAAAATTTTTTTCTTTCTAGGAAAAAAGCAGGAACTGTTCAAATACTGGTAAGTACCCTTTGACCAACATCTCCCCATTTCTCCCACTTCCCCACCCCTGGTAACCACCATTCTACTCCTTGCTTGTATGTATTTTTAGATTCCACATGTCAGTGAGATCATGCGGTATTTCTCTTTTTGAGCCTGACTTATTTCAGCTAGCATAAAGTCCTCCAGGTTCATCTATATTGTTACAATTGAAAAGATCTTTGTTTTTTAAGAGTGAATAATAGTCCATTATATACACATACAGATATACATACCACAATTTCTCTATCCGTTTATCCTTTGACAGACACTTGGGTTGTTTCCATATCAAGTGTCACAAAGTTGCAGTGTTTCCATATCAAGTGTCACAAAGTTGCAGTTATGTAGGATGAACGACTCTAGGGACCTAATGTGCAGCATGATGACTGTAGTCAATAGTGTAGTTAATACAAGTACCATATTGTCTGTTGGAAATTTCTAAGAGTAAATTTCAGTACTCTCAACCCACACGCACACAGACATACACACATACACGTACATTTCACTGTGTATAGATATATCAAAACATCATGTTGTACACCTTAAATACATACAATTTTGATCAAAAATAAATAAAAAGTATTTTCTAAATATTTTTCAGATTTAACTAAGATATGTATGTATAATCATATTTTAATAGTATTCTTATTAACCTTAACTACTTTAATGCATTTTTAATCTTAGAATTTATAAGAGGAAGTTGGTACAATTTACTTGTTAATCTCGAAAGATATTTTATAAATAACTTCAAATCAGCATCTGATAATATTCTTTTTAAAGGATTTATGAATGAACACTGCTCTGTTAGCATAAATTTCCTTTTTACAATAAGCATTATCTGTGACTGTTTAAAAAAAGACAAGAAAGGATCTTTCTTCTCAGGGATATCATAAGGAAGGATCATATGGAAAAACGTTTTATTATACTCATTTTATTATGCTGTGGTTTAGAAATTCAGGCTGGGCACAGCAAAGAGGGCTTCATCTTTGTTCCATGATGGGACTTCATCTGAGTGGCTTGAACAGCTGGAGGTGGCTGGGATGACTCAGTTGACCATGCGTTCTTCCACACATGGTGCCTTTTGGGCTGAATAGACATCTCCGTGGAGCTAGCTTGGGCTTCCTCACAGCATGGTGGGCTCAGAGTAGCAGAACTTCTTATATGGTGGTACCAGGCTTCAATAGGAGTAATCTAGGAGCAAGTCACTGAGTGCGGGGTTATTTGTTGTACTGCGGTATCATGACAATAGCTGACTGGGATAGAGGAAGTGTCAGGAGATGGAGCTGAAGAGGAAGGCCAAGTAACATAGGTTCTTCTGGGCTCTGTAAAGAAAGGTTTCCTGAGGATGGTGAGGAATCACTCTTGTGTTTTTTCTTCTTCTACACCTGGAAGAGTCTGCATTTATTATACTGTGTGTCTGAGCCTGGTATGAATGCCGAGCATTGTTTCCTCTAATCTTTTTGGGTATTTTTTTGGTCTGGGGTCATTGCTCAGCTGAATGCTCCAGGGGTGTTATCTGAGGATCTCCGGAGTTCTCTGTGCAGTACTGTCCTCTCCAGTACTCGTTGCTATAAACTCTGGCCAATGTGGTCTCCCTGACTCTCAGCTCCATGTCTTCAACTCAGAGAGTCTAAGGGCTCTGGCTAGGTTTCTTCTCTGCACCAAGACCTGCAAACTCTCATAAGGCTGTAAACTGAGGCAATTGTAGGGCTCCCCTTGTTTGTTTCCCATGTCTCAGTAATCACTCTCCTTTGTCCTGATGTCCACTGCCTTAAAATCACTACATTTTATATTTTGTTCCTTTTATAGCTGTTTCAGAAAGGAGGGAAAATGGTCCCTGTCACTTCATCTTGGTCAGGAGCAGAAGTCCATGGGAGGTGCTTAATTAAAATTAGCCTTATGCATAGAAAACAGCAAATACAATTTTACTAAAGAAAAGCTGATATAGTCCAAATGTATTTGGAAATCCAAATGTAGTAAGGAAAATATTATTACTTTTTGCTTTAATGACCTATAGTGGAAATAGTGTTTATTTTACTACAGTAAAGTCTTTATCTTTATGCTTAAGCATTTATGTAGACTTATTCACCTTGAAATGATGAGAAGGGACATTTTCTTTAAAGGATGGACAATGGAAGAAACATTCTTTTGATTTATAAATGATTTTTGAAATATACAGTGCATTATTATGGACTATAGTCACTCTGCTGTGCAATAGATCTCAAAACTTATTCCTCCTGTCTAGCCAAAACTTTGTACCCTTTGCACAACAAGTCTCCATTCCTTCCTCCCATCCCCAGACTCTGGTAGCCTCTGGTAACCATCACTGTACTCTCTACTCCATAAATGCAATATAATTATGATTTGTCAATTAAAAATATAAATACAAAATAAATATAAATTTTAACCACTTTCTTTAGAAAGCTATTACAGATTGAACTATGTCTTTCCCCTCTTCTCCCAAATGTTATGTTGGAATCCTAACTCCCAGTACCTCAGAATGTGGCCTTACCTGGAGATAAGGTTTTTATCAAATTAAAATGAAGTCATCCGGGTGGGCCTTAATCCAGTATGACTGGTGTCCTTATAAAATGGGGAAATATGGACACAGAGACAGACACACACAGAAGAAAGGCAATATGAAGAGCTACAGAGTGAAGAGAGCTGTCTACAAGCCAAGGGAAGAGGCCTGGAATAGATTCTCCCTCTCATCCCTCAGAAGGAACCCTCTCTGCCAATACCTTGTTTTCAGACTTCCAGTTTCCAGAAC